CACAGACGTACTTTGGCGACATCTTCGTCCACAGCCGTGCCGAGGCAGGCCAGACGGTCATCTGTGTGTTCGCAGCTGAGGAGATCAAGGTCCTGGGCTGCTTCGTCAGCAGCGCCGGGGTCCGGGCGGACCCGGAGAAGGTGAAAACCATCGCGGCTTGGCCGCCACCTCGGTCGCAGAAGGACCTACGACAGTGGTTGGGCCTCGCCAACTACCTGCACAAGTATAGTGCAGGCTACGCCAAGCTGGCACGGCCCTTGTCGGATCTCCTGAAGAAGGATGTCGACTGGCGCTGGGAGCGTCGCCATCAAGATGCTTTTAATGACATCAAAGCGAGCTTACAGCGCGCGCCAGTCCTGGCATTGCCGGACGAGACGAAGCCTTTCAGCGTAGTCTGTGATGCGCCTGACTACGCAATTGGCTGTGCGCTATTGCAGGCCGACGATGAAGGCCGCGAACGGGTCATCTCGTTCCAGTCCAGGCAGCTCAAGGCAGCCGAACGGAACTATCCAGTCCACGACAAGGAGCTACTTGCCATGAAGTACGCTCTTGTCAAGTTCCGAGTGCACCTCCTGGGCTCGACGCCCTTTGTCGTTTATACAGACCACGCGTCCTTGCGGACTGCCGTCAACACGCCGCATCTCTCACAGCGGATGGCGCGTTGGCTGTCATTCTTCGCGGAATACAACTTCCATGTCGAGTACAAGCCGGGCAAGTTGAACGTGCTTGCCGACGCGCTGTCGCGCCGACCCGACTACGAGCTTGCTCATATTAGTCGGGTCACGACGGATCTGTATGATCGCATCAGGCTGGGGTACCGAGACGATGCCAGTCTCGGACCTCTTGTGCGGTTCTTGGCCGCTGGCTCGGAAGCCAAGGCCGAGTGGCTCACGCCCCGACAACGTGCAAGGCTGCACCGCTATGAGTGGGCTGACGGTTTGCTCCACTATAGGGTCGAGCCCGAGGATCCTCCCCGTATTGTCGTGCCCAACGACGAGGATCTCAAGTACGACATCCTGATGGAGGCGCACGACGCTCCATCCGGTGGCCATCTCGGCCGTGAGAAGACGTACGCGTCTGTCTCGCAGATGTTTTGGTGGCGTCACATGTACAAGTGGGTCGCCACCTACGTCCGTACGTGCGAGACGTGCCAGCGCGTGAAGCCTGCCGGTCACGCCTCGGCACCATTGCAGAGCCTGCCGGTCCCAGCGGACTGCTGGAAGTCGATGGGTCTCGACTTTGTCTTCGGACTTCCGGCCGATGACCGTGGCAACACTGGTGTTGTTGCCTTCGTGTGCCGTCTGAGCAAGATGGTCCACTTTGCTCCAGTTCGTGACACCGTCACTGGCGACGAGGTCGCTCGCCTGTTCATGGACTGTGTCTTCCGACACCACGGTCTGCCCGAGACCATTGTCTCTGATCGAGACCCGCGGTTCACCGCTACGTTCTGGCAGACGCTGTTTCGCCTTCTCGGCACACGACTGTCGATGTCGACGGCGGACCACCCGCAGACGGATGGCCAGACGGAGCGCGTCAATCGCGTGCTCGAAGACACGCTCCGCAGTATCTGCGCGGAGATGCCCCGCTCTTGGGCTGATCGCTTGCCCATGGTTGAGTTCACACTCAACAATGCGGTACATGTATCGACGGGCTTTACGCCCTTTTACCTGAACGGGTTGCGCCACCCTTAGGTGCCGCTCACATTACGAGGCAGTACCGGGGCTTCGGTCCTAAGTGGGGGAGAGGCTCGGAAAACCTTTTCCTCCCAAGTCTCGGACGTGAGTCCAGCCACCTTGCGGAAGCAACTGTCCTCGTTTGCCGAAGACAGGCTGAACATAATCAGCAGGGTGCGAGACACCATGGCGCAAGCCCAAGATAAACAGAAGGAGTACTCTGACCGAAATGGAAGAGGAAACATGAACGTGTTTAAGGTTGGGGATTTAGTTCTCCTAGATACTAGAAACCTACCGCTAAACACTGTTAGCTCGGTCGAGAGCAACAAGCTGAAGCACCGCTTCATTGGACCCTTCACGGTCCTCAGCCGGCATGGCGCGGCGTACACCATAGACTTGCCCAAGTCGATGACGACTCACCCGACGTTTTACGTGGGTCGTCTTAAGAGGTACCATGGCCCTCTGGCTCTGGCTGCCCCGCAGGAAGCGGTGGGTGGCCCGGTGGAGAAGAGCGCAGCGTCGAGTCGCGGTAAGGCGCCTGATACGCGCGCTGGTCGTAAGACGGCGCGGCGTACATCAGAGCAGCATACGCAGGGGCCCCGTACGAGCCCTGGCCAAACTGGGCCTGATACGAGTGGGGCTGCTGCTGCTCCGGATACGGCGCGTGGCCATGAAGCTCGGCCCAAAGGCCAGCGAGCTGGTTTCGCAGCGAGTCGTAAGACGACAGGTCGGCTCGACGATCCACACGGCCATGGAGACTGCGAGATTCTTGATATAGCGAGGCAACATCCTCACGGAGCCGCTCCACGGCACCAGGCTGACCAGCACGAGCGGCAGCCTTGCCACCAAGGCCGACGCCAAGCGCGATCTCGAGGACGTACACACGGTCCCGGAGAAGACGAATCTCCACTTGCTGCAGGGCCACCACCTGACTCGGGGCCCCAGCATACGGCTGCGTCGCCTCAGGATCGTAGCCATGGCCGTGCGAGGCCACCGCCGGCCCTCCTTGATCGTAATGGGCAGATCCACTACCACGTGGAACGAGTCGTCCGGGAGCGGCGGCTCCATGGCAAACGCCAGCTGCTCGTGAAGTGGAGGGGTTACCCTGAGTCGGATAACTCGTGGGGGCCCGTTGAGCAGCTCCAGGCAGACTGCCCGAAGGCTGTTGCGATATGGGACGAGAAGCAGCGGCAGCTTCGTAAGTAGTCCTTGGCTTCTTGGCCGGTACCCGGGGCACGGTAGCAGACGTAGTCGCACCACGCCCACGCTCTTCACGAGCTTTGGCTCTCGCCTCTTGCTTCAGCTCGTCCATCTTCGAGTGGACTTGCGCTTGCTCACGAGTTGAGCGAAATCGATGCGGAGCTCGCGCACGTCCAGGATTGCGGACAGAGTGCGATCCTCACGGAGTTCTTTGAACTCTTGATCGGAATACCCTTTGCGCTGGACGTAGCGCCAGAAGAGGTCTTCCACCTCGCTCCAGGTCATGTTGTCATTCGGCTTGACCCAGTGGAAACCCCACACAGGATGGAGTCCACCCTTGTCCTCCGGCTTCTTGCGAAGCGTGGTGAACTCCTTCAGTGTGAGCTTGGGTGGTGCTAGTAGCACACACCGGGCGACTTCAACGTCGCCAAGAAAGAGTGGCTCTTTCTCAACAAGAGCACGTTCATAGGAACCCCTCGAGGTGTACCCGCCGATAAGGCCACGAGGAGCCGAGAGCTTCTCCAACAGCGCTGGCGCACCAGTGCCAGGCTCGGGTGGGAAGTAGCCCTGCGGGTACGTGGCATCCCCGCCTGAAAAAGACTCGATGGCAGTCGTGGCAGTCGGCTGCCTGGCATACGCACCCGAGCTAGCAGCGTGGTATTGCTGCTGCTGCTCGTCGAGGTTGTTGGAGAGCTCCTTGGGCTCGTGGACGGCACCCTCCTCGTCCTCAGACTCCGAGTCGATGAACAGCTTGGAGCTGGAGCCGCGAGGCGACCTGGAAGCTGAACGCTTCTTCGCCTTGGCCTCGGCGGCCTTCGCAGCGGCAGCCGCTTTCGACGCTTGGGCACGCTCACGACATTGTGCCAGCGTCAGATGCTTGGATGCCAGCACCTCCTTGGGCTTGGAGCCCGTGTCGCTCGGCGACTTCTCGGCCACGACCCCAGCGTCGGCCATGGCGACTTCGTCGTGCGACTGCTTGCTGTCGCCTGAGCCGGGCTCGGCGTCCTCCGCCTCCTTCTCTGACGAGGCCTTTGCGTCGGCCGAGGCGTTGGTCATGTCGCCCGCCGCCAGCTCCGTGCCTTCGGCAGCGTGCGTGCTGCCCTCCGAGACGTTCTCGTCGTCGGGTGAACTCTCACCGGAGTATTGGACCATCGTGCAGTCAAAGACGGCGGCTTCCCAGTCGCGAGCCGGGCTTTTATGTCCCCGAGGACTCTCCTCCTTGCCTTGCGCGGCGTCAGGAGACTTGCTCCGAGCCCCGGCCTGACGGCCACTCTCCGGCGTGCTGCTACGAGAGCGCACCACCTCCTCGACCGCCTTCGTGGCCTCCATCAGCGCGGACGACTCGTCCTTGGCCTTGGCTGCCCTGGTCTTCGGCCCTACGGCCCGCGGTTTCGGAGGTGCTTTCGCACTGCGCGCACTGCGCTTTGGAGCCATGCTTCGGTCGACGTGGAGACCCTGCGGCTTGCTCGGCGATGCGCCAGTTGCTCTGTGAGGCCCGGGAGCCGAGGCGCCAGAACTCGCGCCGTTGTCGATGGATTTCGACTTTGCGAGTGAAATGTGAGTCGCCGGCGTAATCTCGCTCTGATTGGGCGATAAGATCGAATCTAAGTGGGGGAGGATGTAACGGGGTTACATGGAATAGTGACCCTGTCACTATTCCGGGATGGCTACATCGGTCACTCCCCTTGATAGTGACCCAAGTGGCCTCAGAGCCAACAGATACATTTTGTATGACACAAACTATAGGGAACTTAGGATTTGTATGCAGGCCAAATCTGTACCAACCTATAAATACATTCAGTCTTAGATCTACCGCTTTTCAAGTCAAGTCGTCCCCTTCAGACCAGGGACACGTGAACGGCTGTTCACTTGGAGTTTGTATACTCCTGCTTCCTCTGTTAAGAAGTGCTGTGTGCCCCGTCACAATCTCCATCTCTAGTACAGTCAAACCTGTTTATATGAGGCCCTGTTGGTGACCATCTACTACAATGACTCATATAAAATGGACTCAGTTAAAAAAATTATGTGGTACACGTAAAGAAATCGTGCATAGTTCGCTTCCGCTTTGCCTTCACCGTAGTCTTTCGAACCAAAGCGGTCACGGTATGTAAAGCTCTTCGTTCTCTGTCAGTCTGCTCTCCGCATTGCAGCAGAAATGCAGCCAGCTCCATGCAGTGTCTCAGAGCAATGGCAGGTTGAACTGCGGGTTCCTGTTCCTCCTCTTCCTCCTAAGCGCTCCGCCAGCTCATGCGCCTTCAGCAGGAGCACGTCGTCCGCCATCGCCGTTTTAGCTTCGTTCTGAAAGAAAAATTCCCTCAGTTCCCGCTCGAACTGAGGGAATTTCACTCGGCGCCGCTTGGTCGCACTCAGGTCGACGTGGCTGAAGTAGGAAGAAGGCAGGTTGCGCAGTCGGGCGAGTGTGGCACGGCTGACCCGGGCCTTGAAAGTTGCGTAGATCCACTGGGCGAGCATGGGGTTGTTCATGCCAGGATTCTGCTTGAGCTTTAGGTGCACTTGGAGCTTTTGTTCTAGCGTCAGACAGGTGCGAGGAGACATGGCGAGCGAAGAAGGCTTGCGGTAGGCGTTGAGTGTTGAGCAGTGGTGCTTTGAAGAGTGTGTGGCCGTGAGCAGTGTGAATCAAATAAACAGGTGAGACCTAATTTGGTCCCCAAAAATGTGACTCATATACCTTGTATGCATATAAACAGAGATCATACAAAAACTAAGTGAAATATTTGGTAGCGACAAAGCCTGCATCAAATAAAAGGCATGGCTCAAATAGAGAGGATCATATAAACAGGTTTGACTGTACAACGCGAACAGGCTCTTTGAACAGCGGCAACTTTGTCGGTGGCAATCTGCCGGCAGTCTCGAGAGCTGCCGGAAGATCGCCGGCGACGGCGGACAATGCCTGCGGCAATGCCGAGCACGTTAACTTTAGGCACACAGTGGCAACGGCAACGATAGAGTCGGCCGTGATGCCTGTCTGCATGCATATTGGCAGCTTGTCGGCCCTCACTCCCTTTCGTCATGACAACGACCAGCGGAGGAGTGGCTGTCGAGCCAACCGGCGCTATTGAGTCAGCGGTGCCCAGCACGGCCAGCGTTGCCGTGAGCGGCCATTACACTCCGAGCTCTCCATGCTGCTGCTGTTGCTGCTGCTGCAGCATCCTCTGAACGTCAAGTTTAGGACGTGTGCTTGTCGGCGTGCATCATTAAGGCTCCTTGCAAGTAGGAGTGCTTGCATACTTGCCGCGGTCCGCGGACTCGTTAGCGCGAGATCTTTCGTTCTATGGTCGGAACGGCGAGCAGCCAGCTGGCGGTTCCTTGCCGCCGCTGCAGCACAGCGTCGCCGCGTTGACGAGCGGAAGCCTGGCAGGCCGCTCGCAGCTGAAGTGAGCGGGCTCCATCGTGCAATGCGGCACGCCGAGGCGCCCTGCACATGTTGCAGCGCGCGCCGGAAGTCTGATACAGCCGCTAAGCCTGCGGCTCGACTGGACGACTAGACCTCTCATACTACATACACATCATTTCGGTTTTCTTGAGCATCCACTACAATGAGAGAACCTTTATCATTCGATCACCCGTAAAAGCCCCTACGCTATTGTATCCATATTTACAGGTCCTAATCTACATGTACCCGGCAATGGAAAGGCAGACGGGCACTCAACACAAGGAGAAAAGGAGAAAAAAGGGGGAAGCCGCCACCGGCAGCTCCGCTCGCGGCTCGATCGCCCTCCGCCCCGCTCTGCTCTGCTCTGCGCCTCCGTCTCTCAAGGCGAGATCAATCGCCCCGCCATGGTGTACGTAACTTATACTGCGTCAGTGCATCACAGTCACTCTCTGTCTCTCTTTGATCGCACCCGCTCACTTCCCCATTCCGTCCATGCGTGGCGTCCGCAGCGAAGACAAGAAGCGGAAGCCGTCGCGCGACTTCCCGGCGCACGCGCAGGTGCCGGTCGGCAAGGTCCACCCCAATGGGGTCTCCTCCAAGTGCGTAGCCTCGACCCTCGAGCATTGTAAACCCACATCAAATCTCTAACAGAGCGCTATCTTTTTCTTGCTGCAGGGTGCGCGTGGAGCTCAACACGTCGGCGCCGTCTGTGCCGCCGATGCGCGACCCGTTCCACATCCTCAACTTTGACGAAGACGACGGCACCGGCCGGTCCATGCCGCGCACGGGTTCCGTCATGTCGGTAGATTCGGTCTCCTCCATGCTGTCGGTGGACGAGTCGTTCCAGTTCTCGGGCGTCGATGAGATGGAAGAGGACGAGGAGGACGTGTCGAAACTCCCGAAGGACCAGCGGCCGGCGCAACCCGCTGACGAGCGCGAGTACTTCGAGCGCATGTGGGCTGAAAACTTCAAGAACTCGGAGGCGCAGGTCAACAGCACCACCGGGTACCTGCCGGTGGGCGCGGCCGGCCGCCTGAACCGCATCAAGGGCTTCTCCTTCGCGCGCGACTCGGTGTCGCACAAGCTGTACGCTGTCTTCCGGCTGGAGATCGAGTGCATCGTGAGCGAGAAGCAGTGGACGATCTACCGCCGCTTCCACGACTTCAAGCAGCTCGCGCACCAGCTCAAGAACGAGTCGGTGCGCGTGTCGGCGGTGCCCACGCGGACGCTGATGCGGTCGCTGGACCCGAATTTCCTTCGGAAGCGGCAGCTTGAGCTCGACAGGTGGCTGCGTGAAGTCCTCATGCTCATCAGTCTGGAGAACTGCAAAGTGGACACCGAGCGCTACACGGAGTGCTGTGGGAATCGCGGCTTCCACGCAAGCGTGCGTCTCATCCGCAACTTCCTGACGCACAAGGCGAACGAGCCGCCGATTTTCGAGGAATCGTCGTCGTCCTTGTCGTCGTCGGGGTCCAACGTGCTGTCCAACTCGTCTAGTGGCTTTTCCTTCTCGAATTCGGGGTCGGGTCGGCCGCCGCTGTTTAGCTCAGCAGAACAGAAAACCGACTCGGAGTCGTTCGACATGGAGGAGGCTACGAGCAGCTCACGTGGACGGAGAATCCGTGTCGGCTCTGCCGACCAGCTGTCAACAAGTTCTCGTGGTGGCCGCGTACGAGTAGACTCGGCCGACCAGGGTAGCTCGCGTAGTGGTAGAGCGCGTGTTGCTTCAGCTGATCATGGTAGATCGCACTCGCGTGGAGAGAGGTCCCGAGGAAGGTCGTTGCCGAAGGAAGAGCATATGGATGACGGCCGGGCCGCGCCCTTTAATGCGTCCACGGTGGCTGAACAGCGACGAAGTGTGGTGCTGCAGGATGTCGAGGACGACGATGAAGAATTTGATGGCGAGGGGTCCAGGCGACGAAGTAACAAGGTCTCGCTTAAGCAGTTCGACGTGTTGCGTATGATCGGCAAAGGATCTTTTGGCAAGGTGCTGCTGGTGCGGAAGAAGCATTCATCACAATTGTTCGCCGTCAAGATTCTCAGCAAGCCAGCGATCGTGAAAAAGCAGCAAGTCGAGCACACGCGCACCGAACGGCGCGTGTTGGCAGCGGTGTCGCATCCGTTTGTAGTGTGCCTACACTATGCCTTCCAGACGAAGGACAAGCTGTACTTCGTACTTGACTACTGCCCCGGTGGAGACCTTTTCTTCCACCTCAGTCGATGCGGATGCTTCCCTGAAGCTATGGCGAAGTTCTACGCGGCTGAGATCGTTCTGGCGCTGATCCACTTACACGAGCAGGGCATCGTATACCGAGACCTCAAGCCAGAAAATATTATGCTGGATGTGGATGGCCACGTGAAGCTTGCAGACTTTGGTCTGGCCAAGGAGGGCATCACCAGCGAACTCAATGGGACGTACACGATGTGTGGTACGCCCGAGTACTTGCCACCTGAGATTCTAAACCGTGCCGGTCATGGTACAGCCGTAGACTGGTGGAATCTGGGCATGGTGCTTTACGAAATGCTAACGGGGCGGCCGCCGTGGTACACGCAGGACCGACAAGAGCTGTTCAACCGTCTCCGTGGCGCGCAGCTTGAATTTCCTCAAGGTTTGACGCCGGAGGCGATGAACCTGATTGAAGGGCTGCTCACGCGTGATCCAGCCAAGCGCCTTGGTGCTATCGATGTGCGTGAGATCACGTATCACCCCTTCTTCGCGGAGATCGACTGGAATCTGCTGTATAATCGCCAGGTGCAGCCACTGTACCGCCCATGCCAGTACACAGACCCCATCGACGCTGCCAACTTCGAGGAAGAGTTTACGAAGCTGCCTCTCACCCAGATCGACAGTGCCGGTCTCAGTGTCGCTACGAGCGAGCTGCAGGAGAAGAATGGCGACGATGGAACTTCTGGGGCCGACGGAAGGGACCCAGCTGAAAACGCTGCCGCTGCTGCTGAGGCAGCGGGCATGGGAGCAGGTATGCCCAACGGCATGGCTGGAAGCACCGGCACGAGCATGAGCAGCAGCGAGCGCAACAGCACGCTCCGCAACCTCTCGTACACGTTCGCCGGCTTCACGTACGATGGCACGAACCCGTCCTTGGCGCGCTCAGGCAGCTTCGCGCAATCATAACGATCAAGCTGCATGAACGGCGAGCTCTGACTCACTATAAATTCCAGCGGCTGGAGGGCAATGCGATGGATACCAATACAATCGCAAGCGGGCCCTCTACAAGCTGACACCAAAAGCAGGATCGGAATGTCTTAGGTGTCTGGCAATAAACTACCTCCACGGCTTAGCCACAGAGATTGCGAGAATGTAATTAACCATGAACACGTTCTTATGTAAATACGTGTATGATGGCTCGGCTTTAGTTCTTCGATGAGGCCGCGAACTTGGCGCAGTCGACCGTGTTCTTGAGCAGCATGGCAATGGTCATGGGGCCGATGCCGCCAGGCACAGGCGTGATGGCCGACACGCGCTCGCTCGCAGCAGCGAAGTCCACGTCGCCCAGAATCTTGTAGCCCTTCTTGCTCGTGGCGTCGTCCACGTAGCTGATGCCGACGTCCACGACCACGGCCCCTTCCGCGAGCCAGTCGCCCTTGACCAGCTCCGGCTGGCCCGTGCCCACGAACACCACCTCGGCCTGGCGGACCTTGTCGGCCAAGTTCTTGGTCTTCGAGTGGCACGTGGTGACGGTGGCGTTGGCGGCCAGCAGCATGAGCGACAGCGGCAGGCCGACGAGCTGGCCGCGGCCAATGACGACCACGTCCTTGCCGGCCAGCTCGATGCCGTTGCGGGCCAGGATCTCCAGGCAGCCCACGGGCGTGCAGGGCTGCAGCCGCAGCTCCGCGGCCTGCTCGGCCTTCTTGGGCTCGGCCAGCCGAGCGAAGTGGTGCGAGTGCAGGCCGTCCACGTCCTTGAGCGGGCTGATGCTCTCCAGCAGCTCCTCCTCGCGGGCCTTCAGGTGCTCGGGCAGCGGCAGCTGCAGCAGCACGCCGTGCACATTGTCGTCGGCGTTGAGCGACTGGATCAGCGCCAGCAGCTCCTCGAACGCGATGGACTGGGCCAGCTCGTGCACCTGCGGGGTGATGCCCACACGCGTGCAGGCGTTCTTCTTGAGGCGCACGTACGTCTTGGAGTCCGGGTTCGAGCCCACGAGCAGCAGCGCTAGCGCGGGCGTCACGCCGAGCGTCGGGATCAGCTCCTGCAGCTCCGCCTCGATCTCCTTGCTGCAAGCCTTGCCGTCCAGGAGGCGCGCCATGGTCAACCTTGGTCTTTTGGATGGTGCGTGTTCAACGTGTGGCACAGAACGGCACAAAATAGTTTACGGGTACGCAAGAGTTCGTGATCCGTAAGAAGATACGATATGGGTGTTAAAGCAAAATGCTGCTTCAGGCATCAAAATGCTTAACAATGGTTGCGGTAGACCCAGCAAAAGGGGAAACTACAGTATGCTTCGGCCAGATCCTTCCTCGAGCGCCGATCCACTCGTGCTTGAGTCACTTCGATATAGTTCTCAGAACTGTTGAAGGAGCCGCGCATTCCGACATTTTTTTATCAGTGTCGAGAACCTGCGGTCATTCCCCATCAGCTCACGCGGAGGTTATACTCCTTGGTTTCGAACTGTTGCACCGTCAGTTGTAGGGTGTTCGTTAAACGATTCGGTAAAGTATTCCACGTCAGCATTGAATTATATGTTCCCAACCTTTTTGTCCACAGATCAAAAGTAAGGTGCATGTACTGTATGCGGTTGGTTTTATAGTTGCTGTACTGTATCATGATAATGAGTTTATCTACATAGTAGCCGCGTGCGCTATGTCCAGCGAAGGGCCAGCTACACTTAGCGATACATATCCGATATCTACATTTTGAGACGCTTGGATCGATGAAGGAAGCGGCCTGCTGCCTTCGTTGGGAAGTTTACAAAATCTTCAATGAGGAATCCTCATTGAGGATACTTCTCTGGCCCACTTAAGAATCGACAATTCAATTTAACCTCATTTTTTGCGAACTCACCTGATTGGCTAAATATACGGTTTCAGCCATATGATTGGGTACAAAGTTTGATTAGAGTACAAGCTCACGAAATTGCTTAGAAAAACCTCAAAATCTAGACGAATGCCACACCTTCCGCACGCGTTCTACGACGGCGAACTGCACAGCACTGTATTGACAGCTAACTAAGCTTTCCAATGATACCATTTTGGTATAATATCGCCAAAAATTGTAGCCATTTCGCAAAAAAAACTAATTTTACCCAAAATCGGCCTTACGAAATTTGTTCTGTTTCCCTTAATCCTGCTTTTTTTGAGCAGCCAATAGTATAACGCGAAACCCCCAAATCCCAGCTTTCTTTTGAGCTATTATTTGTCTCCGACAGATTTTTTTTGATTTTTTAGAGCGGAAAAATAGAAATGTCGATTCTTAGGTGGGCCAGAGAAGTATTACTCAGGAATTGATGGACCCTCGTGAAACTACGGGTAACATAAGTAGTCTCATTCTACCGCCGGCCAGACTTCATCACCGCGGGCAGCGTGACGACGGATCACGCGATAAAATGATGTCCAAGGCTCACGTAGTACAGCACTGCTCCCAAACGACTACTTCCCCGAGACCAGGTGTGCCCCCTCTTGCGGGTGCAAATTGCATCGTGCAACCTGCAGGGAGGCAGTGGCAGCGGGCTGTCCTTTTGAGGATATGGAGGTGGTAGGTATGAATGTGGTCGTGCTGTTTGCGCAGAATTGGTGGCCAAGTGCTTATGAGGCCCGGACCATTGGGTGCCGAAAGAAACCACAGTTGATATGCGCCACCAACGAGTTGTTTGTGCGAAACCAGCAGCCAACTGAATACGTTTTGGGATCAGACCTCAGGCACGAGTGCACGCAGCCTTGTCCGCCAGCAAAGACCTGCCGAAGCTCTGCGAAGAGCACTTCACAGAACACATTGGTTGAGGTGACGCTGCGTCGAGCCAGCTGGGTTTCAAGCTCACCACACTTTTCCCGGTTACGAACTGTTTCTACGTTGCATCGCATCATGCCAGCCAGGACAGCTGGAGTCGACTACAGCAATCGAGTGGCACGAATCGAAATCCAGCCTTGAAGCGGAGCTTGATGAATGGCCTGGTGTCGTCTTCTACACCTCAATTCCCAGTACACGGTGTAACATTACTGCGGCTCATGTTCATTCAAATATGAACATAGTGGATTGGTATGCAAGTGACCGCAGTTTCGTGTCCGGAGGCCAGTGCTGAAGTTCGATATTATGACTGTTAGAAAATTGGTTTATATGACTGTTAGAAAACAGGTGATCGGTGGGTCACCCGTTTGTCTGGGTGGTGCTGCGCATAAATCGCATCTTTTCAGCGCAACAACGAGGAGGACTCGAACGGTACAGTGTCAGCAAGATCAGCCCTTCCGCTGAGCCAGCTGCAACGAGAGCTTCCGAGGGTACTGTACCCCGCCGAGACTCGTATCTGCCAGCCTTTCGTCGCTCTCGTTTCTTTGTCTGGCACCAAGTCTCTCTGCTCTTTTACATGGACCTGCTCGGAGGGAAGTAGTGTACAGCACAGGCAGCTATCGTTGCAGTCAAGCCCTTTAGTCGTGTGCATTACCTTTCATTGCAGGTTTTGCCAGCTCGAGTTCACCTCCCTCCATCCCTTCGAACAGCAGAAGTCACCCGACCCCATGCTGCAGCAGCTCACTCTCGCCGCCCTCGTCTTCCAAGCTGTTGCCATCACACGGACAGCGGCCCACGGCAACATCATCGTGCCGAAGCCCACCGGCAATGCAGAGCACCCGTACTACATCGGTGGCCCCGCTGGCACCATCGACATGGCGGAGCTTGTGGGCAGCGCCTCCTACGGAGACTACTACCAGGCTGCAGACGACTGGTTCACCAAGAACAACGTCGCCAGTCTGAAGGAGTACATCACCAAGTACGGCACCGACATCTCCGAGTGTGGCAACACTGAGAAGAAGGGCCTTGCTCAGCCCGTGCCTTCGGATGGCTACGCGCAACACGACACGTTGGGCAGCTCGCACCCGGGGCCGTGCGAGATCTGGTGCGATGACACGCGCGTCTTCCACAACACCAATTGTGCGCAAGAGTACGCCGGCGAAGTGCCAACGAAACTCCCAATCGACGTGAGCACGTGCAAGGCGTCGTCCGAGTTCGTGTTCTACTGGCTGGCACTGCACGCTCAACCGTGGCAAGTCTACATCAACTGTGTGGCTCTGGACGGCACGGCCGCTGCAGGTTCTACCAACTCGACCTCGACGACGACGACAACGACGATGACTGCCCCCGTAGCGGTGTCTGAGGAGGCGAGTGTGGATGGTGAGACATCTGAGGAAGAGGAGACCACTGAAGCTCCCGTCGCGACCCAGGCTCCTTCGCCGGTGGAGACGGAAGCTCCTGCGACTGCAACATCTGCGCCGTCAACCTCGTCGTCCAAGTGCGTTCGACGCCGATCGTAAGCAACGTAGGCTCCAGACCAGTGTAGATGAAATGCTGTCCGTGGTATGTGAAATCGACGTTGAATACATGTAGTAGTTTCGATTGACATGGCTACATTGTTTTGATTGGCAGCCAAGCGAGCTAAGGATTGGCCAAAATCTCTGCTGAATTCGGAATCAAGCACCACTTCAACATAGGATAGCAATTTGTGAGGCCTAAGCGTACATTCAGTGAAGTCGTCTCCGTACGGCAAACTACTCACAACCTTAGACACTACGATCTGCTCAGCGAGATTTTTGGATTCCTGGATGTCGATACGTGTATTTCGCTTTAGCTGATCGGTCAGATAACATGCAATGACTGACCTTGGGCTGGCAAATTGTCATGCATTTCACGAATTCCAGCTGAGTTCTTGTTCGATCGCCCTGTGTTCTACCGCTCATCGCTGAAGGACGGCACTGCGGAGCCCGTTCCGCATACAAACACGAATAGGGAGTTCTCAATTCCCAGCGAGGGACCGATCGATATGAGTACGTGCAAGGCCTCGTGCGAGTTCGTCTGCTCCTGGCTTCTGATGTACGCCCAACCGTGGATCAACTGTGTCAACACTCCGTCGTACACGAGCGGGTCGGCGTCTACCACCTCACACAGCACAACTGCGGCATCGGAAGCCCATGCTGTCGAAAAATACTTGTTGCGCCTACAATGACAACGACCACCGCTTGTACACGGACTGCAGAATCTGACGATACTACTTTGCAGTGTACCAGGTAAAGAAGACCGATGCACCAGTGCACGTCGGATGCTGGCGAAACGGAGGCAACGCAGATGATGTCTACACGTACATCAAGAAAGGACAAGTGCTTGGTTCGCTACCACCGCAAGTGCGTTTGAGTACCTACGGTACGTGTGGGCAACCAAGTCATGGGAGTCGCGTTTGACAAGCTGCCAAAGCATGAGTTAACCATACCAGGGGTTGGAAAAAATAATATCAATACAATAGTTACGGCATTTTTAGCACGGAATAATTTATTATTGCTTTAGGGCAGTGTTTGGGAAAAATATCTTTATTGCGGATTAAAATTTAAACTGCAGGACACTATTGGCATGGTAAATGCAATACCAATAATCAACACCCAAGAAATATTGCAATACTCGATTGGAACGCAGTAAAAATTGCCTGTTTGTAGTAGCCTATAGCTATCAGTACTGCGGGAACGCCTTACAGCATCCGCAACAAGTCGGCTGTTCCGGAATGACCTAATTCGAAGTATTTGTTTCATGGAGCATGATCACATCGGCCAAGGTCGCGCCCAACCTGTTTTGACGATCCGTCATTACGTACCTGGCAGAAATAAAGAGCCTTTCTTATAGGGACTAGTAGTTAAGCCCAAAGCTTTCGTTTCCCCTACTTCCATCCACCACTACAGTGCTTACAGTAATTAGTCTGACCTCCAAATTTGCGTAAAAAGTGCAATTTTCATACTTTGAAGGCTAGGCACGAAGTCAATTTTTATCCAATCAACACCACAGATCCCTGTAATAGACGTTTCTCATTGAGTAGAATTCGTTGAAAATGATAGTTTTTCGACAAATAGCGTGTAACATAGATACCCTAACCCTCCCATCAGGTCAGACTAATTACTGTAGGTACTGTAGTTAATAACTAGTGGTCGTTGGCAGCGCTGGAGGTAATAAGCATTAGTTGCAACTGTTAGCCGGTAACCAGCTGGTGTGAAAAATACAATACAATACTGTACCAGTATTGGATGGGCATTGCAATACAGAATTCTGCCCGAATAAGGAACGGGTGTACAACTAATAGCCTCACATATTTAATATTATTTTCCAGTCGATGTGGCGATAGGGGGATGTGCAAGGTACTGCAAGGTACTGAGGTACTAAGGTGAAAAATCTAGTGCCAATCATCAGCTCTCCACCCTCGTTTGAAAAATGGCGCGCATTTAGCGATTTTACTAGACTTCAAACTACATGTACCGTAGTGGTAGACTCGCACTTTTGCGTTTGCACCTCGTCCCACAAGCCCCACTCCACCCATGAAGTCCACACCGTCCAAGCGTCTCCGCCTCACTTAAAATGATGCAGGCTCTAGACCGGCTTGGTGAAGGGCTCGATAATCCCTACGAGGTCGACCTGTTGACAGCGCTGTTGTGGTGCGAGGATGCCTGGTCAAAGATTAGTGCTTCGACCATACGCCACTGTTGGAATCATTCCGGACATGTAGGTAAAGCTGCTCTTCAGTTCATTTTGAAATAACTAAATCAGTACATTGGAAAAGTATACTCAACTTAACATCAATTTATATATTCTGCGTTTTTATATATATCAGGCGTTCCTTACGCGGGCAGATTACTGTACTCGATTGGAAGCTTAGACAATATTGCAAGACACGATTGTATCGGGTGGTAACATTGGCGTCTATATTGCAATGGTACGGTACAGTTGCAATGCTTGCCAATACATTTTTTCCAATCACTGCTTTAGGGTGCTCCCGTACAATGGAAAATTGTCCCAATACAATATCAACACTTGCGCCAATACAAAAACTAAGCTTACTACAAAAATCCCGTATATATTTATTGCCAATAATTGTGAAAATACTGTATTATTGGCTGACCCTGTATTGCAATGATTATTACTGCGACTCCCAAAACAAAATACAATATTTTATTTTTCGACCTCTTAACCATACACGTGTCCAGTACAGACTGTACTGTACAGTACACTGGAATCCAGTCTGGACAGCGCGTGGAGAGAGGAATTTCCATAAATCAGTGATTTTCACTGAGATTTGACAAAATAATTGTGACAGTTTGCCTGAATTCACTGATGCAGCATCAGTAGTATCGTACTAGCGCGTCCATACAATTCGCAAGTCAAATGTAGACCTATAGTAATACTATAAATAGTACATGTAGATAGTATGTTACCTACCACAACTAGTACTATATTCTGTAGTATCACTGTCGATGTTATTAATACATACTCCGGTTGCTACGGTACAGTAGACAGGCGACCCCTTCCTAGCGGTTAAGGTGTGGGATGCTCGCAACTACCAGCCACAAACTGGGTTCGTGGGGCTTGCTGCGTTTAGTGCCTTTTTGGTGGTTATACTTTTTGCACTATACAACTTGTCTGGTGTTCTGCACAAACATTAAAACAACTTTATTCGTTGGTCGTCTCGAAGATTCACTACGAAATACAAGGGTCCAAGCTTCTCCACAATTGTTTTGCATCTGCCACCTCCGCCGAAACCCAGCTTTTTTTCGCGATAGAACAACGCATATAAACTCAACGGACCCAGGAGATGGTGCATTCACTAAAATAAAATTGTCATCTGCACAACGTATTGGCTTTCATGCATCGATAGTAGCTTCAGATGAAATATGTTATCTTTAATAGACCAAGGTTTTGTGAAGCCAAGTACCCAGCCCTATAAAAGTGATAAAGTAGCAATGAGGACAGTCTTGCGGAATGCCAACCACTTCAACCTCCGCTACAGGTCCTCCGTCCACGGGTCCACGGATCCTGCAATCTCAGGAATGAACCGCGTTCGAGTTGAGGGAGATTGTGTTGTGTGAGTTAAGTTTGCGCCGCAGAAGATGATAATGGTCGACGGGCGAAAGGCTCATAAACATCCTGGCAGGCTCTTAGTCAATAATGTAGCAGGAGTTGCGTTGTAACGGAAACGCAAATATACATACCACAGATACTGTAGGTAACAGGTAAGTCGTAGATTTCAGAGCTTCTTCGTGCAACGCGCGCGACTTTGTATCTCGTTAAATTGCGATAGCGATAGTGACTGCGCCGCCGCGGTGAAGATGCTTACACTAAGTTCTATAGCTATCCCAGCCTATGCATAGCTCTCGTCTTCATTTGATCGGCTTCAAATAGCTGCACTATCAGCTTTACTCCTACCCCAGAATAAATGTAGTATGTAAATAGAGACATCTTACCAAAAAAATAAACGCAGTTCGTGTAAAAGTCTCGTTGATGATGATATTGTATTGTGTTGCGATATAGTAACTACTACTAGTGTATTGGCAACTTATAAAGTGGCGGATTCCCACAACGTAGAAAGACAAAGTACTTCCGCACCCACCTGCAAATATTGTGTGCGTCACAAGGTTTTCGGTTCATGTTCTTAGTTTAATATGTCGGATTTACTCAGTTCTTTCAAGTCTCTTACCGCGGCAACTCTGCTCGGTTGTGAAGGGCGGAAACATGTCGACGCATAGTTAAGTAGGCTACGGCCTTCGTCGTGGTGTCTGCTTCCTTCACATCGACTGGGGCCTTACCCAACGAAAGCCTCTCAGTACACTTCGGAATAATATAGTAATTGAAAGAAGCGAATAAATACTACTGTAATATTACTATTTACCAAATCACTGAGTCAGTAGTTTCAAGCTATCACAATCATTTTGTCAAATCTCAGTGAAAATCACTGATTTATGGAAATTCCTCCGCGTGGAGACACTCGGACCAGCCAAGAATCTTGGTCCAAGATTGATACGGATCTCAGACCAGCTTTCCATGCTCGCTCGGATTTGCACGACCGAGTCGATTACACGAGAGCATTGGCAACTTCAAATTACAGGTGGGGCCTACGTAGCAGTACAGTAACCCCTACTTACAATTCTGTAGAGGTTCGTACGTTTAATGCTAGCTAAAAACCAAAGAATTCACGCGCAGCACATGTACAGTATTTGGTGGAAATGCAGGCCAGTTCATCACCATGCATAACTACGATAGTGACAGAAGGTAGTCTCACTTGATCATTTGAAAGCCGTGAGCGCGCGACCAGTTGAAGTGCAGCCGGACTTAGCCAGCTGTGCTTTAAAACGGCACCAAACCGGAGCTCCGCAGATTCGTGAATGCAGTTTATTAGAGAACTTTTCTCCGATAAGGATAAGTTGTATCCACAGCTTGCATTCTATGTGCAGGCTGCATCTAGTCGAGCCGCGGCATGTGGTAAGCAGCAAGAAGACATTGCTGATTACGAAGGTGTTTCAGACCAGTGAATCGCAGAGTGATCGCTGTACATGTACTGTATTTGGACGAAGCAAGACCAGGTTTTCTTACTAACCATCTGCGCTCGCGGCGATCCTTGCAATTGACTGTTTTGCTGTTCGGCCTCGTCACTGGATCACCGAAGACCTTCGTCTGCTGCAAAGGCTCTCGTTCGTAGAGTACGAGTCGTATCCAACATGGTTGGCAGGCTGTAGCTCCATTCCAGCTTTTGCTCAAGCCAGCACAAGTCCATCCCGGTTCAGACGGCCATGTTACAGCAGCTCGCTCTCGCCGCCGCGTTGCTTCAGGCCTGCTTCATCGCTCCTGCCACGGGCCACGGCAACATTTACGAGCCCAAGCCTGAGGGCGAGGGTGCTGCCTACAAGTACTACTTCGGTGGCCCCGCTGGCACTATTGACATGCCCGAGATGGTGGGGAAAACTTCGTACGGAGACTACTACCAGGCCGTGGACGACTGGTTCTCCAAAAACAACATCGACAGCGTCAAGGATTACATCAAGACCTACGGCTCGGACATCGCCGAGTGCGGCAACACCAAGAAGAACGGCACGCCTCAGCCCGTGCCTGAAGACGGCTTCGTGAAGCACGACACGCTTGGTACCTCTCACCCCGGTCCTTGTGAGATCTGGTGCGACGATACCCGCGTCTTCCACAACGTCGACTGCGGGCTTTCCGGCGAGTTTGCCGGTCAAGCTCCAACGAGCCTTCCGATCGACGTGGCCACGTGCAAGGCGTCGTCCCAGCTTGTGTTTTACTGGCTGGCGCTGCACGTTCAGCCGTGGCAAGTGTACATCAACTGCGTGACTCTCGACGGCAAGGCAGCGGGCGGCTCCACCAACTCGACAACCAAGGTTACAGCCAAGGTTACAAAGGCTCCTGTGGCTCCGAAGTCCCTTGTGGTCATGCCTGAAGAAGCAAGTGTGGCCGGCGAAGCAAACGACGACGAAGACGTGACGGAGGCCCCCATCGCTACAAAGGCCCCGGTTGCCCCCGCACCAGTTCCTACGACTGCGCCGTCAACGTCGTCATCCAAGTGCCTCCGCCGCCGCCCGTAATCGCTGATACAGTTCGATAGTCCGATGTTTAATGTTTATTGAGTTTGCGGTGCTCCATTTCGTTGAACGCTTGTTTGCATCAAGCAGTGTACCTTTGTACACATGTTACTCAGTGCTTTCTACTGCAATACACTAGCAAACCGTAAGTGCTCTTTGCAAATGCGTTTGTCTGCTAGTCTCCACATTGAATTGCTTCGCTAACGGCCATCTTGGACGTAATACATCGCGTAGCTCCACTATGGAGGGGCGTAAAAGTCTCAATGAGACGGTCTCATTGAGAACATATTGCTGAGCGTATACTGTAGGTAGCTAGCGAAGAAGGGTTTACTGAGGCTCAAAACGAACAAATGGAAATCGTCGAACGCTGCAACCACGGTTGAGTAAATGCCTGGGAGTCCGCCCGAGATTATCGTAAATGCATTTAGAGAACTGGAATCGAAGCAGAGGGTATCAGTAGAACACGCGTGGATTGACTGCATGGCTTGCAGTTGCTTCGTTGCGAAGTCGGCAAGAGTGAAGCAATCTACACACCTGTCCAAAGTTTGAGAAGTGGTTCCAGGGCATCAATGAGTCGTATGATTCAGTAATTTGCCTTGACCGACTGTGGGGAGCGGCATGCTTGAGCATCAACCACTTTACTGCAAGCCCCTTACTTGTGTTTTGTAACTCGATTTCTTTAGCTAAGGAATGCTACGTCAGAATCAACTATTCAACTGGATAGACTAGAGGAAAACCGCATAAATTCTTTGATAAAGAGTACACAGATCCTAGACCTGCGTGGGTAACTTATAACAAACTCCACTACCTAGCAGCTTAGTTAGGGACGACGGCGCCCATGTTCTTCCAGGCCATGCCGGCGAAGTAGTCCTTGGACTTGATGGACTTGGTGATGAGGTTGCCCATGACCACGCCGCCCATGACGGGCAGCTGCGAGACGCCGCCGTTCGGGCCCAGCGGCAGCATCGTGCCCACCACCTCCACCTTGGGGAACGGCTTGCTCACGTTACTCTGCGTTTTGCGCGCCACCAGCGCCAGCTCGGCGCCCAGGTGCTTGCCCTGCAGGCCGGCGTAGAACATGCGCTTGGGCGCGGGGCTGTTGCTCGCGTCGCCCAGCGCGTAGATGTTGGAGTACTGCGCGCTGTCCAGCTGCAGCTTGCTGTTGACCTTGATGAAGCCCTCGGGCGTGACCAGACTCGCGTCCAGCTTCTGGATGAGCTCCGTCGTGGGGCTGAAGCCGCCGCACAGCAGCTGCACGTCCGACTCGATCTCCGTGCCCTTGTCCGTGCGCAGCGTGCGCTTCTCGAAGGAGTTTCCGTTGAGGCGCTCCGTCAGGCGCTCGCCCAGCACCACCTTGACGCCCAGACGCTTGAGGTACGTGGACAGCTTGGTGCGGAACTTGTCGCGCACGTCGTCGCTCGCGACCAGCTTGTCCTTGCCCTCGAGGATCGTCACGGTCTTGCTCGGGTACTTGGCCTTGATCTCGCCGGCCACCTCGACGCCCACGGCGCCGCCGCCCACGATGAGCACGCTGCTGGCGGCCTTGACCTGCTCGCGCACCTCGGCCAGCTTGGTCTCCGTGGTCGAGCGCTTGAAGTTGTTGGCCGGCTGCTTGATGGGCACCGTGTACGTGCTGCCCGTGGCCACCACCAGGTAGTCGAAGCTCAGGCTCTTGACGGGGCCCGCCAGCAGGTCGCCGGCCTCGTCGATGGGCGCGTACTCGACCTCGTTGGCGCCGGGCACGATGCGCGTCACGACGGCGCGCTGGATCTTGACGAAGGTCTTGGCCGACGGCGGGATGACGTTGTCGTACGGCACGAAGAGCTTCTTGGTGTAGCCGGCGTCCACGACGGCGCGCGGCGTGCCCACGGCGTGGTAGTAGTACTTGCTCTTCTCGAGCACGAGCACCTCGGTGTCGTCCTTGGCCGTGAGGTCGGCCGCGAGCGCCTGCGCCACGGCGATGCCCGCGGGGCCGCCACCGACGATGAGGATGCGAGGCATGGTGAGAGTGTGTGTGTGTGTGGGGGGGGGGGGTAGGGAGAGGAGCGGTCAAGCTGCACTTGCGGTGCGCCGAGGAGTTTGTAGAATGAGCGTGAGGCGTGTCAGTCCGCGCAGTCCTGTCGTGCCGGCCCGGCATGCCGGTACGGCAGCCGGCCCGGCGGCGGGGAATCAATCGCTTTTCACGGACTCTATCCGCATCGTATAATAGCTACTACTTACACTACGGTCGATCGAGGGGGGCACAAACACATGAACATGAAGCTCGTTCAATGCCAGTACCAACTAAGATCACTTTAAGAGCTATCCGCTGCAATTACAAGCATCCCGCACCGCCAGAGCTGCGGCACTGTGCCCCGTGCACCCATTCGTGACTCAAACCTGCGAGTACGGCAGCGCGAGGGCCACCAACAACTAACCTTACAGTACCTGTAAATTGTAAGACTCGACGAGCGATCCGCTCGTAGGATCCCTACCAGAGCACCGCACACGCAATCGCCGTGTCCTCCCTCGCGCACTTCCAACAATGGCGTGACTAGCAGCCGCTGGCTGCACCGCGAGCCCCAGCCAAGGCGCAAGTTGCCGTTTCCGTTTGGCCGATCTGAGACCGAGCCTCCATTTGACGTTAGCACACCCTTTCTACTTTTATCCCTGTCTATATGGATAGTTTCTCATTTCCCTCTTAGCTACCTGTTGAGTTAATCCAGATAATTCTGACTCTGACTCCTGATAGTAGAGCTTAATCTTATAGCTAAAGTCCGCACCAATCCTATAAGATCCAACAGCTTGGCATCACGCGATTGTTTACGGAGGCTGATTGCGTAGCGCGCGCGAGTGACGTGTCGGCGCGGCCGCTGATTGGCCCGCGGCGACCCATCACATGCGACACGCCGCGCCCGTTCGTTCTGCCCGGCGACTTGCCCGATCTTGCACCGATCGCGAACGTACAGTAATCTGCCCGCGTAAGGAACGCCTGATATATATAAAGACGCAGAATATATAAATTGATGTTAAGTTGAGTATACTTTTCCAATGTACTGATTTAGTTATTTCAAAATGAACTGAAGAGCAGCTTTGCCTACGAGTCCGGAATGATTCCAACAGTGGCGTATGGTCGAGCAGGACGTGGCTGAGGGGCTGGGCGTTCTTGCGGACAGCCTTCTCCAGCGGCCGCCCCAGCAGGACTGCACTTGACTTGATTATGCGGCATATCGTTGTCTTGCCTGGGGCGGCCGGGAGGCTGAACTCCGTCACAGCCCACTCAGCCAGGCCCCTGTAGGAGAGAGCAGGTGTGCGGGCTGCCTTGTCGAGGATGCCCACTTTCTCAGACCAAGTGAGGCGGAGACGCTTGGACGGTGTGGACTTCATGGGTGGAGTGGGGGAGGAGGTGGGCTTGTGGGGCGAGGTGCAAACGCAAAAGTGCGAGTCTACCACTACGGTACATGTAGTTTGAAGTCTAGTAAGATCTCTAAATGCGCGCTATTTTTCAAACGAGGGTGGAGAGCTGATGATTGGCACTGGATTTTTCACATTAGTACCACAGTACCTTGCAGTACCTTGCACATCCCCCTATCGCCACATCGACTGGAAAATAATATTAAATATGTGAGGCTATTAGTTGTACACCCGTTCCTTATTCGGGCAGAAGTCTGTACACCGTCCGTGAAAAGCGATTGATTCCCCGCCGCCGGGCCGGCTGCCGTACCGGCATGCCGGGCCGGCACGACAGGACTGCGCGGACTGACACGCCTCACGCTCATTCTACAAACTCCTCGGCGCACCGCAAGTGCAGCTTGACCGCTCCTCTCCCTACCCCCCCCCCCCCCCACACACACACACTCTCACCATGCCTCGCATCCTCATCGTCGGTGGCGGCCCCGCGGGCATCGCCGTGGCGCAGGCGCTCGCGGCCGACCTCACGGCCAAGGACGACACCGAGGTGCTCGTGCTCGAGAAGAGCAAGTACTACTACCACGCCGTGGGCACGCCGCGCGCCGTCGTGGACGCCGGCTACACCAAGAAGCTCTTCGTGCCGTACGACAACGTCATCCCGCCGTCGGCCAAGACCTTCGTCAAGATCCAGCGCGCCGTCGTGACGCGCATCGTGCCCGGCGCCAACGAGGTCGAGTACGCGCCCATCGACGAGGCCGGCGACCTGCTGGCGGGCCCCGTCAAGAGCCTGAGCTTCGACTACCTGGTGGTGGCCACGGGCAGCACGTACACGGTGCCCATCAAGCAGCCGGCCAACAACTTCAAGCGCTCGACCACGGAGACCAAGCTGGCCGAGGTGCGCGAGCAGGTCAAGGCCGCCAGCAGCGTGCTCATCGTGGGCGGCGGCGCCGTGGGCGTCGAGGTGGCCGGCGAGATCAAGGCCAAGTACCCGAGCAAGACCGTGACGATCCTCGAGGGCAAGGACAAGCTGGTCGCGAGCGACGACGTGCGCGACAAGTTCCGCACCAAGCTGTCCACGTACCTCAAGCGTCTGGGCGTCAAGGTGGTGCTGGGCGAGCGCCTGACGGAGCGCCTCAACGGAAACTCCTTCGAGAAGCGCACGCTGCGCACGGACAAGGGCACGGAGATCGAGTCGGACGTGCAGCTGCTGTGCGGCGGCTTCAGCCCCACGACGGAGCTCATCCAGAAGCTGGACGCGAGTCTGGTCACGCCCGAGGGCTTCATCAAGGTCAACAGCAAGCTGCAGCTGGACAGCGCGGAGTACTCCAACATCTACGCGCTGGGCGACGCGAGCAACAGCCCCGCGCCCAAGCGCATGTTCTACGCCGGCCTGCAGGGCAAGCACCTGGGCGCCGAGCTGGCGCTGGTGGCGCGCAAGACGCAGAGTAACGTGAGCAAGCCGTTCCCCAAGGTGGAGGTGGTGGGCACGATGCTGCCGCTGGGCCCGAACGGCGGCGTCTCGCAGCTGCCCGTCATGGGCGGCGTGGTCATGGGCAACCTCATCACCAAGTCCATCAAGTCCAAGGACTACTTCGCCGGCATGGCCTGGAAGAGCATGGGCGCCGTCGTCCCCAACTAAGCAGTGGCGTAGTTCGGTAGGAGAACTTGTCTATAACTGTAAAGATATTCATTTTGTTTTTCAATCACCCTCGAGAGATGGAAGAAAACGCAGCGCTCATTGCGCATAGTGAACGCGATCATGGCGAAGAATAGCCTCACCAACTTGTAGTAAGTACTACTACGTCGTCTCCGTAGCTCGTCCTTGGGGCCGTCCCGTGTAGGCAAATTACAGTCGATGGCACGCAATCTCCTTGTTTGTGATCAATGTGACCGGGAATGTTGGTGAGTGTCGGCTGGCCACAAACAATCCAATCGTCAGCCCAAGGTACAAGACCCATCGAGATCCAAACCATGACCCGCGTCGTTATCATCGGAGGCGGAGCGGCCGGCATCAACACGGCGCAAGCTCTGGCCAAGAACCTCACGGAGGCGGACGACACCGAGGTCGTCGTCCTCGAGAAGAACTCCTTCTTCTACCACGTCGTCGGCGCCCCGCGTGCCTACGTGGACGCCGACTACACCGACAAGATGTTCATCCCGTACGACAACGCCATCCCCAAACACTCCGCCAAGTTCGTGCGCATCGTGCGCGGCGTGGCCACGCGCATCTCGGCCGAGACGAACCAGGTGTCGTACCACGCGATCGGCAGCGACGACCGGCAGAGCGAGGCGACGGAGACGCTGCAGTTCGACTACCTGGTGCTGGCCACGGGCAGCTCGTACTCGGTGCCGATCAAGCCGGACAACCGAGACTTCGCTAGGTTGGCCACGGAAGCCAAGCTGCAGGAGGTGCGAGGGCAAGTTCCTTGCTGCAGAACTGGCAACCGTGATTCGCAAGAAGCAAGTAGGTTTTACGAAGCCATTCGAGGAGCCGCCAGTTGCCGCGATGATCTTGCCCCTGGGTCCGTGCGGAGGCGTATCACAGCTGCCCGTGTGGGGAGGTGTCGTGTTCGGGGACTGGGTCACCTGGATGATCAAGTCGAGAGACTACTTCGCTGGGTACATCTGGTCCAGCATCGGTGCGACCGTCCCGAAGTAAAAGTGTACCAGATAGCGGATAATTGGCATTGAACATGCTTGCCTGACTGAAAGCTTGCTTTTCAACCTTCTCGGCATTCTGATCGAAAGCTAAGCAACTCCGATACACATCAATTTGTGAGCAAAATGTGAGCACAAGACGGGGGAGTCATCCGCTGACGATTACTCTCAAAGTAGTGTAGCCTTTTGAACATGAATTTCTATAATCGCAAGTAGCCTTAGCTTGATGTTTTTGCTGGTCCCGTGCAGACATTTTCACAAGGATGCAAAGTGTACATGTAGAGCAAGGCTTACTATTACTTACAGCGCGAGCTCTACTGTACACTATACCGGTAGAGTGTACACTAACTCCCACCAACCATCCAGCAACACCATTACTTGCGAGCTTTTGTCCCGTCCCCCGGGGTTCGCCTAACCTGTCGAATCTATCGCATGATTGCACGGGACGACGGTCACTGCCCAACACCATAAAACACACACACACTTCAGCTCACTCGTCCGATAACGAGCATCCCGCACCGCCAGAGCTGCGGCACTGTGCCCCGTGCACCCATTCGTGACTCAAACCTGCGAGTACGGCAGCGCGAGGGCCACCAACAACTAACCTTACAGTACCTGTAAATTGTAAGACTCGACGAGCGATCCGCTCGTAGGATCCCTACCAGAGCACCGCACACGCAATCGCCGTGTCCTCCCTCGCGCACTTCCAACAATGGCGTGACTAGCAGCCGCTGGCTGCACCGCGAGCCCCAGCCAAG